AAGGATCTCGACCAAAATCTCTACCAAAAGAATACTTTTTAAAAAACTTGACCAGAAACTCGACCAAAAATTGATCAAAAACTCGAAAAAACCTTTGTCAAAAGCTCGACCGGAAACACTACCAAAAACTGCACAGAAAAAAAAAAATGAGAATGGTTTGCTCTGTATTAGCCTCAAAACCAAGTAACATATTCTTTTGTTTTATTGATAGCCTGTGAAAACGCATGGAATTTGAWAAGAAAGACAATAGAATTGATATGAAATCTAACACTTTTATTTTATTTTACCCTATGAATAACAAAGAAATTGGAATTGGAATGAATTGGAAACTAAAAGTAGTTAATTTTTAGTTCTCCATACATTTCTTTGTATTTTTCACGCGTGTCACGCGCCRATGACCCCCCGGGGGGGACTCCCTTATAAACGTTGGTAGGTATGCTGGACCTTTTAGGGTCGAAAATGAAACCCTCGCGTACCTTTTAGGTTCCTGAGCTGACTCCGCACCTTTTAGGGTCAATTTTCGAACAACAGGGAAAAGAATGAAGAGGTGTTAATAAAGAAATAGATTTTATTAACCTCTACAATCTATCGAGATTGATTTTGTACAGTTTGTTAAACTTGAGCTTTTCTCTTGTTAAGGGCGTCAAAAATGGTCGTGCCTTTTAGGGTCTGGAATCGATACCTGAATTAATCAATTTATGCGTACCTTTTAGGGTCATTTTTCAATCCGTACGTCGAGCATACCTACCATCTTTTATAAGGGAGTCCCCCCCTCCCTCCCGGGCGATGACCCCGGAAATTATAAATAAACGTATGGAGCTAAAAATGAGTTTACTCGCTCCCTAGATAAACTGAGTCCTTCAGAACTGTTTAGTTACCTCCTTTTCGTAATATCTAACGTTTGAAGTTAATGATTCTTTCAGAAAGAGGTTTTTGACCGGCATTTTGTTCGGGTAGGTAAAGTCTCGCAAAATAGAAGATACACTGTGAAATCGATGACAAATACTTCCAGGTGAATTCCTTTTCTGAAAAAATAATTAATTCCAAACCTTAGATACTGCGAAAAGGAGTTTAACTGGACAGTTTTGAAAGACTTTGACCTAGGGAGTGAGGTTTAGCGTGTTTTTCATGCGCGTCACGCGGTAGCCTGCGTGGCGGCTCTGGGGAAGGGGGAGG